AAAATGGAAACATGAAAACCAATCATTTTCATAAACGTTGGTTGGAAAGCGACTCCTCCTCGGCCGTTTCACCGATTGGCCTCAAAATTGTTCCAAATCATCTCAACACATTTACCTTCATAATTACTTCAGGGAATTTTAATCAGTCAAACGTTGTTTGAGAAGCGGAACGGCAAAATGTGAGGGTTTTTTGGCTGTTTTTGACAACATAAATTTTTTCCCCGTTTGCACAAACAAAGACTGATTTGCATTAAACTTGAATCCATTGTTCAACTCCAGGGTTTAGGTCAGGTGAAAGTGAAATATTTGAAATTGGCCCATTAGCGCCCCCTACAGACTGATTCAAAGTTTACATGGGGAGCCAAACCAGCTCTAATAATCATATTCATTACAATTTGACTAAGTTCTTCTATGGCTACGGGAACCAATCATCACACGGCGGCGCCACATCCTATGCGCGGTGCTACGTGGTACGGTGTGGTGCGGCGTAGTGCGGGGCGTTGTGGAGCGGTGCGTTGCGGCTTGGTGCGGGGCGGCTTGGTGCGGGGCGGCTTGGTGCGGGGCGGCTTGGTGCGGGGCGGCTTGGTGCGGGGCGGCGTGGTGCGGGACGGCGTGGTGCGGGGCGGCTTGGTGCGGGGCGGCTTGGTGCGGGGCGGCGTGGAACGGGGTGGTGCGCGCGGTGCGGGGAGTCGCGCGGTGCGGCGAGGGCCGTTCGACGCCGCTTGCGGCTTTAATTTATTTATTTCTTTCTTTCTTTCTTTTTTCTTCTGCACTTTGAGCCTTAATTTGACCCCCTGAACATGCATGAAAAGTTGTTAATTTTGGCCCAAAAATCAGACTTGGCGAAAAATTTGATATTTTGGTGTTTATTTTTATGGGAATCAAAAAATGACAGAACAGCGCCACCTACAACAGCCAAAATAATACCCCTATGGGACTTTTCGGAGGTCAAGTTTGTCGTAGAAAAATGAGATTTGGTACACATGTTCCTCAAGTCAAGACAAGAAAAAAATATTATTATGGCCCCGCCCTCTGACAAACAGGAAGCCCATAAATTTCACTGCAAAATGGAAAAATGAACAGCAAAAGTTTTCATACATGTCGGTTGGAAAGCGACTCCTCCTCGGCCGTTTCACCGATTCGCCTCAAATTCGCTCCACATCATCTCAACACATGTACCTTCAAAATGACCTCAGGGATTTTTGATCAGTGAAACATTGTTTGAGCAGCGGAGCGGCAAAATGTGACCTTTTTTTGGCCGTTTTTGACAACATTAAATTTGCTCCCGTTTGAACAAACAAAGTCTGATTTGTACAAAACTTTAATACATTGTTGAACTCTAGGGTCTAGGTCATTTGAAAGTGAATTAATTCAAATTGACACATTAGCGCCCCCTACAGACTATTTCAAAGTTTTAGATGGGCATTTTCAAATTTAGTTTTTTCAAAATGTTTGAAATTTTGCACATAAATCTGTTTTGCCCTCTTGATTCAAAAAGTCAATTGGGTCCAAGGCTTATTTTTTACCCTGTTGCCGTGGCGACGAGAAACGCTCCCCATTCTTTGCAAATGTACACCTCACACAAACATCAAACCAGCCACGGCCGTTTCACCGATTTGCCTCAAAATCGCTCCACATCATCTCAACACATGTACCATCAAAATGACTTCAGGGAATTTTGATCAGTGAAACATTTTTCGAGCAGCAGAGCGCCAAAAAGTGGCGTATTTTTTTTCAGTTTTTGACGATAGAAAAATTGCTTCCGTTTGCACAAACAAAGTCTGATTTGCACAAAACTTGAATCCATGGATCAACTCTTGGGTCTAGGTCATTTGAAATTTAAAATTTAGAAATTGGCTCTATAGCGCCACCTACAACAGCCAATTTAAAAATGCCTCTGGGAGGAGTTTGAGGTCAAAATTGTCATAGAACCATGTAATTTGGAACACATGTTCCTCAAGTCAAGTCATGGAAAAAATGTAATTATGGCTAAGCCCTCTGACAAACAGGAAGCCCATAAATTTCATTGCAAAATGGAAAAATGAAAACCAATCATTTTCATACACGTCGGTTGGTAAGCGACTCTTCCTCCGCCGTTTCACCGATTGGCCTCAAAATTGTTCCAAATCATCTCAACACATTTACCTTCAAAATTACTTCAGGGAATTTTGATCAGTGAAACGTTGTTTGAGCAGCGGAGCAGCAAAATGTGAGGGTTTTTTTGCCGTTTTTGACAACATTAATTTTTTTCCCGTTTAGACAAACAAAGTCTGATTTGCATTAAACTTGAATCCATTGTTCAACTCCAGGGTTTAGGTCAGGTGAAAGTGAAATATTTGAAATTGGCCCATTAGCGCCCCCTACAGACTGAATCAAAGTTTACATGGGGAGCCAAACCAGCTCTACTTATCATAGTCATTACAATTTGACTAACAATCTTCTATGGCTACGGGAACAAATCATCACACGGCGGCGCCACCTCCTTTGAGCGGTGCTGCGTGGTACGGTGTGGTGCGGCGTAGTGCGGGGCGTTGTGGAGCGGCGCGTTGCGGCTTGGTGCGGGGCGGCGTGATGCGGGACGGCGTGGTGCGGGGTGGCTTGGCAAGGGGTGGTGCGCGCGTTGCGGGGGGTGCGCGCGGTGCGGGGAGTTGCGCGGTGCGGCGAGGGCCGTTCGACGCCGCTTGCGGCTTTAATTTATTTATTTCTTTCTTTCTTTCTTTCTTTCTTTTTTCTTCTGCACTTTGAGCCTTAATTTGACCCCCTGAACATGCATGAAAAGTTGTTAATTTTGGCCCAAAAATCAGACCTGGCGAAAAATTTGATATTTTGGTGTTTATTTTTATGGGACTCAAAAAATGACAGAACAGCGCCACCTACAACAGCCAAAATAATACCCCTATGGGACTTTTCGGAGGTCAAGTTTGTCGTAGAAACATGAAATTTGGTACACATGTTCCTCAAGTCAAGACAAGAAAAAAATATTATTATGGCCCCGCCCTCTGACAAACAGGAAGCCCATAAATTTCACTGCAAAATGGAAAAATGAACAGCAAAAGTTTTCATACATGTCGGTTGGAAAGCGACTCCTCCTCGGCCGTTTCACCGATTCGCCTCAAAATCGCTCCACATCATCTCAACACATGTACCTTCAAAATGACCTCAGGGATTTTTGATCAGTGAAACATTGTTCGAGCAGTGGAGCGGCAAAATGTGACCTTTTTTTGGCCGTTTTTGACAACATTAAATTTGCTCCCGTTTGCACAAACAAAGTCTGATTTGCACAAAACTTTAATACATTGTTCAACTCTAGGGTCTAGGTTGTTTGAAAGTGAATTAATTCAAATTGACACATTAGCGCCCCCTACAGACTATTTCAAAGTTTTAGATGGGCATTTTCAAATGTAGTTTTTTCAAAATGTTTGAAATTTTGCACATAAATCTGTTTTGCCCTCTTGATTCAAAAAGTCAATTGGGTCCAAGGCTTATTTTTTACCCTGTTGCCGTGGCGACGAGAAACGCTCCCCATTCATTGCAAATGTACACCTCACACAAACATCAAACCAGCCTCGGCCGTTTCACCGATTCGCCTCAAAATCGCTCCACATCATCTCAACACATGTACCATCAAAATGACTTCAGGGAATTTTGATCAGTAAAACGTTGTTCGAGCAGCAGAGCGCCAAAAAGTGGCATATTTTTTTTCAGTTTTTGACAATAGACATTTTTTTTCCGTTTGCACAAACAAAGTGTGATTGGCACAAAACTTGAATCCATGGTTTAACTCTTGCGTCTAGGTCATTTGAAAGTTGAAATTTTGAAATTGGCTCTATAGCGCCACCTACAACAGCCAATTTAAAAATGCCTATGGGATGGGTTCGAGGTCAAAATTGTCGTAGAGCCATGTAATTTGGAACACATGTTCCTCAAGTCAAGACATGGATAAAATGTTATTATGGCTAAGCCCTCTGACAAACAGGAAGCCCATAACTTTCATTGCAAATTGGAAAAATGAAAACCAATCATTTTCATAAACGTCGGTTGGAAAGCGACTCCTCCTCGGCCGTTTCACCGATTGGCCTCAAAATTGTTCCAAATCATCTCAACACATTTACCTTCAAAATGACTTCAGGGAATTTTAATCAGTGAAACGTTGTTTGAGCAGCGGAGCGGCAAAATGTGAGGTTTTTTTTGGCCGTTTTTGACAACATTATTTTTTTTCCCGTTTGTACAAACAAAGTCTGATTTGCATTAAACTTGAATCCATTGTTCAACTCCAGGGTTTAGGTCAGGTGAAAGTGAAATATTTGAAATTGGCCTATTAGCGCCCCCTAAAGACTGAGTCAAAATTTACATGGGGAGCCAAACCAGCTCTACGTATCATATTCATTACAATTTGACTAACATTATTCTATGGCTACGGGAACAAATCATCACACGGCGGCGCCACCTCCTTTGAGCGGTGCTGCGTGGTACGGTGTTGTGGAGCGGCGCGTTGCGGCTTGGTGCGGGGCGGCGTGGTGCAGGGCGGCGTGGTGCAGGGCGGCGTGGTGCAGGGCGGCGTGGTGCAGGGATGCGTGGTGCGGGGTGGCTTGGTGCGGGGGGGCGTGGAACGGGGTGGTGCGCGCGGTGCGGGGAGTCGCGCGGTGCGGGGAGTCGCGCGGTGCGGGGAGTCGCGCGGTGCGGCGAGGGCCGTTTGACGCCGCTTGCGGCTTTAATTTGTCTTGCTTTTTTTCTACCTGAGATGTTGTTTCAGAACAGTGTTCATGGTTTTGCACTCGTCCCTTTTCTGCTCCACCCAGCGGCTACTGCATCTTTGCTGCTGTGACCTGTCCTGCTCCCACTCTCTACTTAAGGGGGGCATGGCAGAAAATTATTGAGAAGCACTGCTTTGCACAGAGGAATCACACAGGATTATGTAAGAACTGAACCAGAACTGAACCAGGACTGAACATTAATGAATGTTAATCGTTTGATGTAATTGTGTGTGTGTGTGTGTGTAGGTGAACCAGGAGAATGTAGTGAAGGTGGGCCACAGACAGGTGGTGAACATGATCCGACTTGGAGGAAACCGGCTCCTGATCAAAGTGGTGACAGTCAGAAGCCTGGAACCTGACGACACCAGAAAGAAAGGTAACACACACTTCCTCCAGCTCCTCTCGTGGGAATCCAGAGACGTTCCCAGGCCAGCCTGAGGGACACAGTCCCTCCAGCATGTCCTAGGTTTTCCCGGAAAACCTCCCCAGGGAGCATTGGTTCTACTCCGAGCTACTATTGTGTGACTTTGAGCTCCTCCCCTAATCTCTAAGGGAGGAGAGTCTGTGAACAAGCTCCTCACTCTATCTCCCTTTAATTTATCTGATGGCAGTTTCACAGATCATTCTTGTGTTTCAGCCCCTCCTCCTCCAAAGAGAGCCCCAACTACCGCTCTGTCCATGAGGTCCAAGTCCATGACCTCTGAGCTCGAGGAACTCGGTGAGTGAAAAGTGTGGAGAGAGGCCAGAGAGAGGCCATTGAGAGATTCAAGAGAGGCCAGAGAGACCAGAGATAGAGAGAGACCAGAGAGGGATGGATACCAGAGAGGGAGAGAGAGATACCAGAGAGAGACCAGAGAAAGGTGAACCCCTTTTGTCAATTATTTTTTCTTATTACACGGCTCCTCACAGCAGCAGTAGAACGCTCCATTGATTTGAATGTAATTTAAAAATGTTCTACCGGTCATCATTTCTTGATAACTGACCTCTCAAAACAATAATGACCGCTGCCCATGGCAACGCAACCTCTTCGAGTAATTCAGATGTGTAAATTACTCCGCAAGTAGTCCGGCCACTTCGTCGCTAGCCACGATCAATAAACGCGAATACCAATCTTAATCGGAGAATACACTATACATATACATTTTTAATACACGCACAGAGGTTTTCAGAAGTATCTGTTAAGGTTTTCATGACAAAAATACTGTTTTAATGCGAGAAAAAGCAATCGCGAAAAACCCGGAAGTAGATTCCGGGACATTTTAGGACACATTTGTAGAGGATCGGATTATGGATTTAGGTTAAGTTTATGTATGGGTCACTCACTGCTGATGTTCAGAATTCTTTGTTCAGTTTTCATGCAGTTTGAGAGAGTTCTAGCTAGCTTCTAACTGTTACTCGCATAGCCACGGGAAAACCTTTGGGAACTATTTTATTTTCTGTCATTAAATAAGGCTTTCGGCATTCTTAAAAGTGGACTGAAGTTTATGTTGTGTGTTTGGTTGGTACAAAGCGGTAGAATTAGCAGGATAATGTATACTAGGCAGGTCATTGTCGGAAAACACGTACTGTACCTTCAGGGCGGAAGCAGTCCACTTGACACTGTCGGTACTTATTTTCCGATAATGTCCTGCCTACTATACTTTTTCCCTTACTTATTACCAAAGTAAATAGTAACATTTCCTTCTTTATATTAAAGAGAGAAAATCTCATGAATGCCGGTTTTTCATAATGTATATTGTCTATATAGACTTGAACTTATTCTCTTGTTTCATGCACAGTGGAAAAAGGTAAGAACTCTCCTGAACTCCCTGAGGTGATTTTTGTTTCTGTGAGGTTTCTGCCTGCTTTAGCACTAGCATCCTAGCATGTAGCATAATGCTTATTACCAGATTAGTGCTAACGCCTGGCTCCTGTGATAGTCCATGACAGGTGCAAGCTTCTTCTGGCTCAGTGCATGAAGTGCATCTCGTGTTTGCATCAATTGTAATTAGCATTGTTCACATTCAGCGTTGGCAACATGTGTTTGCAAAATTTTTACTTTTTTACGTTTTAATTTTTACTCTGAGAGCTAACTCACACAGGCTCCATGCAATGTTCCCTCTAACTATTCATTGGTCTGAGCACAAAACACTCGAAACACAATCCCCCTGAGCGGCACGTGGAGCACTCTGCGTGAGAAATCACTGTTGAATGCTATTCAGATTTTGATCCTCCTGCTGCAATCCCATTTATTTAGGTTACTTCATTTTTCGGTTCAATATTCACCTGATCATGATGCATCTTGATTCAAATGCTGAGTATATAGTATTCATTAATAAATGGTATACATTATCTCAAATAGCGTTATAACTGCTGAACTGAATATAAGAGGGGGCTTTCCGTACCACGAATACAAAGTTACTTCTTAACAGTGAAAAGATAAGTGCTAACAACAAAACCACAGCAAAGTCATTTTGGGCTAAGAGAAGGACGTAAGGGTCAATGAGAACGTGCGCTGACCAGGAATTTCCTGTTCATCAGACTCTTGTCTCCCTGTATGTGTGTTGGTGTAGTGTAGTGCTTGCGAGACCTGTAAGACCGAGTTCACATTTGCAGGTCACGGTGTGCAGAGTGAGGTTGGTTGTATAGCCCTGTTCTGGATCAAACTGAACTTCTGACTTCAGTGTTGTCGCTTCTCTCGCACTCACGTACAGCACATAATCATCACAGAGAGCTTTCAGCTCTGACTTTTTGTTGTTAGAGAATGGGGCCTTCTCACGCAGATCCACTATGGTCAATACACTGTAGAAATAAGTGGCCACGTTGTTTGTGCTGGCAGCACAGGATGCTAGATTTTTATCTGGCACGACAGAATTTTCTGTGCGTTGAGACCCCAAAATCACTGCACAATTGCGCATGCGTGAAGCTTAGAGGAATCACTGCTCTTGAGTGGCTCATACTGTAAATTATTACTAACTATTTTTGGACGCTTTGGAGCTCAGACTGTCAACTATTGCTTAGACCGGATGTCTCTGCTTGTTCGCAAACGTTAACCGCAGAGTGGAGGGGCAGAGACAAAAGACTGGGTAAACATGCTCCAGGACCTGCCTGTCGTGGTCCTTGCGGATGCCCATGGGCATAGGGCTGGTGGCCCTGGGTAGTCTACAGTCCTGCTACTGACTGAGTGAGAGATAGTTCCTCCGCTCGCCCCGCTCCCTGGAATATGACAGAACCAGGGCTGCCAATCAGAACTCAGCATAGACCCTCAGTGAACAATAAACAACCTAGGTGAAACATGTTTCTGTAACAAACGGACACTGGGCTGAGCAGGTGCATATTGGCTATCTAAGACTGATCCAATGCAAGATTTAACTGACACAGAGGCACAGGCCAATGCATTATGAATTAGCCTCTTTTGTATGGAGGACCAAAAATGACTAAAGTATAAATAAATAAATAAATAAATAAATACAGGAATATATTAATAAATACATTCATTTTGGACAATAAAAACTAAATATTTACATTGATGTGTTAAATATTACTATGAAATCAAATAAATATACTTTTATTTAGGTTATTTATCAATATCTACATTTTTTCCTTTATTTATTTATCCATTTATTGCATATATTTATTTATGTATTTCTACATTTCTTCATTTATTTATTTATGTATTTCTACATTTCTTCATTTATTTATTTATGTATTTCTACATTTCTTCATTTATTTATTTATGTATTTCTGTGTCGCTACATTTCTTCATTTATCTATTTATGTATTTCTACATTTCTTCATTTATTTATTTATGTATTTCTACATTTCTTCATTTATTTATTTATGCATTTCTACATTTCTTCATTTATTTATTTATGTATTTCTGTGTTCCTGTATGCTAATTAGGTGGGCGGTGCTGAACTCAATGATTGGTGGGCAGTAGGGCAACCAGACAGAAGCAAAGTTAAGCCTAGCGTACATCGACAGAGAAACTGGGGACAACTAGTTGCAAGGCGGCTTTTGGCAACTGAGAGGAGATGATGGAGATGATCAGTTGCCAAAATCGGTCGATGTGAGCGCTCTTACAACTGGAGATAAACAGTCGGTCTCCAGTTTCAGTCAGTTGCCCGTGTTCTACTTTTCGGCAACTAGTTGTCCTCAGTTTCGGAGATATGACCCGATGTGCGCGCTCCATGCGCCGCTCCGACAACGTGTGTGTATTGCGTGTATTGCGAGCCCTCTACAGTTTATGTCAGAAAACACACTGTAGTTGAGGCCAGTTGCTGTCGATGTACGCGCTGTTATTCCCGAGACTGGTCTGCTACTGGGAGTTGCCCGTTTTCGTCAGATTGTCGATGTGTGCGGGGCAGCAACTCATATGCGACGGATATAATCAGTTGCCAGTCCGATGTACGCTAGGCTTTAGCCTTCTCGGTTTGTGAGAGGATGTGAAGCTGCTGTATAGCTTGTTGAAGAGCGTCCAGCACAGTTGCATCAAAGTCTACCTCTGGGTCAGCACTGTGATGAACTAAAACATTTAATAGTCTTTCCAGCCGAAAGAGTAGATAGTCCTCAGGTGCATTATGCTCAACATCATTAACATCATTTGCTAATGCTCTTAATTGATGAGCAATGGCTCCTAAAAAACTTACATACGAAACTGCCATCATACCACACAAAAGTGCACAGAGGAATGTGAGGCAGTAAATGATCGAGACCAGAGTTCACGCAATCCTAACCAATCCTGTTCTAGATTGAGTTCAGCACCGCCCACCTAATTAGCATACAGGAACACAGAAATACATAAATAAATAAAGAAATGTAGAAATACATAAATAAATAAATGAAGAAATGTAGAAATACATAAATAAATAAATGAAGAAATGTAGAAATACATAAATAAATAAATGAAGAAATGTAGAAATACATAAATAAATAAATGAAGAAATGTAGAAATACATAAATAAATAAATGAAGAAATGTAGAAATACATAAATAAATGAAGAAATGTAGAAATACATAAATAAATAAATGAAGAAATGTAGAAATACATAAATAAATAAATGAAGAAATGTAGAAATACATAAATAAATATATGCAATAAATGGATAAATAAATAAAGGAAAAAATGTAGACATGGATAAATAACCTAAATAAAAGTATATTTATTTGATTTCAGAGTAATATTTAGCATATCAATGTAAATATTTAGTTTTTATTGTCCAAAATGAATGTATTTATTAATATATTCCTGTATTTATTTATTTATTTATACTTTAGTCATTTTTGGTCCTCCATACTTTTGTGTATGTGCTGGTGCAGTCGCATCGTAAGTGATTGACTCGAACCACCGGTGCAAGTGAAACTCTTCATCAACTTTGCAGGGAGAGCTGCAGCCGTCGCATCTCTGCTCGCTCTACCAGTGTGTACGCAGTCCAGTGTGTACCCAGCCCAGTATGTACCCAGCCCAGCGGGGACAGTCCCGGTGTAACGCCAAGATACACTGTCTTGAAGAGATGCACTGCCTCTGCTATTTATGATGTAATGCAAACCTGCGCATGCGCGTCTCATGGCAGCCAAAGCATACCAAAATGGCTGACCGTGAATTTCTTTAAAAGTTAAAATAAGAACGAATTAAGAAACGAATGTCACTTTTAATGCAATTTGAGGCATTAAAAGTGAGGATGACGCGTCCTGTGGCCTCTCTACAGCTTACACCTGGTCTGTCGGGTTGATAATGGAAAATGGGGAAAAAAATTGATCTAATTAAAGCCGCTATACCCGTCTCTGCAATGTTTGAATGTTTAGCACCGCCCCCCAACTTGCTCACAGGCTTCTCATTTCCCCTACGCTCTCATCCCACGGAGCCACCTAGTTTTATTTGCTATCTGATACGTATGCTAACATTAGCATTAGCGCAACTTCTTGTAAGCTGTGCAACAATCACTGATGAAATGGTACAAAAGCAATGCACTGCTAACACAATATATAAGTAAAAGAATACCGCTAGTTTTGCGTCCGAATGTATTAATTTAAACATTAGAATATATTATAATATTTAATTAGAATTTATTATACAGCTCCTCACGGCAGCAGCACTCCATTGACTTAAATGCAATTCTTCCGATCATTTTTTCTTGATAACAGAACTCTCAAATCAATAATGACCGCAGCCCCAATGCAATCTCTGTAATTCAGGTGTGTAAAATACTGGCATTACTCCGCAAGTACAAGCTATCAGCGCCTGTCACTACATTGTGCAGTTTCTCTGCACACTTGTCTGTGTAGAGAAGCTAGCGGAGCTAGCCACGCTCAATAAACAAATACATATCAATCAATCAACACCATTCAACGTTAATCGGACAATACAGTATACATATACATCCTTAACACACATGCACGGACGATTTCAGAATTAGCTGTCAACGTTTTCATGACAAAAATACTGTTTTAAAGTGACAAAAAGCGATCGCAAAAAACCCGGAAGTTACCATGAAACAGCTAGCTAGCTTAGCTGTTACCTGCCTAACACGTCCTGGTGAAACCTTTGGGAGCTAACTATTTTATTTGCATTCATTAAATACGTTTCGAATTATAAGGGCTGTCTAATATTTGTTCGAATATATATATATTTTTTATTTCAGAATTATATTCGAAAATTTTGAGGCCGAAGCCCTGGTGTTAAGCAGCGCTGTAGAGGCTAGAGGACGCAGGCTGTTCGCTGCTCGTTCTGTGAGTGGAGGAGAACGAGCGTCCCGCTAAGACTCCACTCAGCACTTTTCACTGCTTGTAATTCTTACACAGCTGAATC